AGATACAAACCTCCCTCACAATGTGCCCACAAGAAAATTCCTCATGGACCTCATGATCTTTACGCTAAAACAGTTCTGCTGATTTTCACCCTGGCAATGTAAATTGATAGCTTATCTTCACAGGTAAGGGACAAAAAACAGAACTCAAAGTCATCCCTCTGCTCAACTAAGACAAATACATATCTGATTGCTTCCTAGGCCCCACCGTTCATGTAAAAATGCAGATTCACGAGACAGACTAAGGCATAAATAACTATTCCTCTAAACCCCTCTCACATGTGAATTGTGTATTCAGTGAAAGGTTGATTGAAGACTCAGAAAAATGCAACTATTTATCTTTTATCTACCTATGACCTGGAAGCCCCACTGCCACCCCCAACCCCACCCCACTTTGAGTTGTCCTGTCTTTTCAGACTGAAACAATGTACAACTTACATGTATTGACCAACATTTCATGTCTCCCAAAAATATATAAAATTGGCCAGGCGCGGTGGCTCATGCCTGTAATCCCACCACTTTGGGAAACCAAGGCAGGTGGATCATGAGGTCAGGAGATCGAGACCATCCTGGCTAACCCGGTGAAACCCTGTCTCCACTAAAAATACAAAAAAATTGCCAGGTGTGGTGGTGGGATCCTGTAGTCCCAGCTACTCAGGAGGTTAAGGCAGGAGAATGGTGTGAACCCAGGAGGTGGAGCTTGCAGTGAGCCAAGATCGTGCCACTGCACTCCAGCCTGAGCAACAGAGTGAGACTCCGTCTCAAAAAAAAAAAAAAAAAAAAAAAAAAAATGTATAAAATCAAGCTGTACCTTGACCACCTTGGTTACAGGTCATTAGGACCTCCTGAAGCTGTATCACAAGTGCATCCTTAACCTTGGCAAAATAAACATTCTGAATTGATTGAGATCTGTCCCAGATACTTTTGGTTTGCAAGGTAGAAACAGGACTATTAAAGCAAGGCACTTTGTCAAGGGGTGGATGGGAAATGAAAGCTAGAGCAATCAGAATTCCATCTTCTCAAACTTTAACTCTTAGATTTTGTATTAACACTTATAGGTTGTTAATTCTAATAGCATCAGATGAGACTATACAAAGGTTCTTTCCACAGAAACTCTAAAGTTGCACAGTTTCTGTCCTTTCAGGCTTCCTTTCAAACCTGTAGTTATTCCATATGAGTACTATAAAGACGTGCTTTTTGCTTAAATTGGTAGGAACTGTTTTCTGTTGCTTGCAACCAAAAAACCCTAAGAAATACAATGCTCTTTCTCATTCTCCTCTTCCGCTGGTGATCCTTTAAATAGCACAGAGCTCTATTTCTCACTCCTCTTTTTTCATTATGCATTCTTCCTCTAAATATTCCACTTTCATAGCTTTAATAATCACCTATATACTGATTCATAAACATGTATCTCTATTTCAGATAGTTCCCTTTCCCATAGGAACCTTAAACTCAATCTGCCCAAAAGTAAACTCGACTTCCCTTGCAAACTGCTTTTTCTCCTGTATTTTCTATCTCAATGAAAATTCACCACCATTCACCCAGATTTTTACACCATAAACTGTTGAGTCTTAATTTGACTCTTTCCTCTTCTTCGTACTCTGTGCTTCCCCATTTTGACCCTTAACATTCAATTAATTATGACATTTTTTCCATTTTCCCTTGTAACTCTGCAATCTTCTCATTCATCATGTTTGTTCAACATAATTATGTCTAATTGATTTCCTACCTCCAATATTTTCTCCTAAAAAATACTCCATATTACAACTAGAATGGTCTAAATTTTTTTTTAAAAGGCTGGGCACAGTGGCTCATGCCTGTAATTCCAGCACTTTGGGAGGCCAAGGTGGGCGGATCACAAGGTCAGGAGACTGAGACCATCTTGGCTAACATGGTGAAACCCCGTCTCTGCTAAAAATATTAAAAAAAAAAAAAAAAAAAAAATTAGCCGGGTGTAGTGCTGGGTGCCCTATAGTCCCAGCTACTCGGGAGGCTGAGGCAGGAGAATGGCGTGAACCAGGGAAGTGGAGGTTGCGGTGAGCCGAGATCACACCACTGCACTCCAGCCTGGGTGACAGAGCGAGACTCCGTCTCAAAAAATAAATAAATTTTAAAAAATAAAAATAAATAAAAATTTCTTATCATTTTCTTGTATGTACTGTTCCAATGCTTCTCTATTGCCCTTGGGAGAAAGTCCAAATTCACCCATCTTTATGGTACACACCATTATACTAAGCCATTTACAGTACAAATGATGCCATGATTCTGTCACAATACAATACACCTTTGTAACCCCATTTCCTTTGCCTAAAGTGCCTTTTCTAAACTTCTCTCCATTGCTAACTTCTATTTGTCTTTCAAATCTCAAATTGATATCCTCCCAGAGGAGCAGTTCCTGAACCTTCTAGACCTATGATGCCCAATATGATAGCCACCAACCATGCCTAGTTATTGAGCACTGAATTATAGCTACTCTGAATTTAGATGTACTGAAAGTGTAAAATACACCAGATTTTGAAGGCTTAGTATGGAAAAAAAGTCAAATATCTTAGTAATAATTTTTATATTGGTTACATGTAAAATATTTTGGACATATTATTAAACAGAATATAATTTTGAAATTAGTTTCCTTTTTTAACTTTATGTGTCTAAAAGAAAACTCAAAATTATATGTGGCTTGTATCAAATTTTAACTGGACACCAGCTGGCCTAGATAAGCCCCTTTTTTCAGTGCCTTATAGTTATTTCTTTACTAGCATTTGTTTTATATTTTAAAATTACTAGACTGTCTTCTGCACTAGACTTCAAGCACCTTAGGAACAAGAGGCTTTCTTGGTCAACATAGTAATACCAGAGGTAAGGCTGCTAAAGTACACACAGTCAATCTTAATTATTTTTTGATTCCATATTTGCAAATTTGCATACTTGACATAATTTACTTATAATCTCAAAATCAATACTTGCAGTGCTTTTGAAGTCATTTGTGAACATGCAAAGAGACTTGCGCCATCTAATGCACATTTAGCTGAGGTCAAACACAGTGATGCTCTCCCTTCTTGTTTCAGTTGTCAAACTGTAAACCAGTATTCTTTTCAGTCTGTTTATCGCCAGTTTTTGCATTGCTGTGCTTTTTGTTGGTGATCTCACTGTACTAAATCGCCCCCAAACACTGTGCTAAAGAGCTGTCTAATGTTCTGAAACACAAGAAAGCTATGGTGTGCCTTACAGAGAGCATATGTTAGATAAGCTACCTTCAGGCATGAATTACATTGCTGTTGGCCATGAGTTTAATGTTAATGAGTCAACAATATATAGTAAATCAGGTGTCTCTAAACAGAAACACACTAAAAATCACATATCAACCAATGTAGTGGCCCAGAGGCTCAGAGGAACCTAACCCTGTATTTCCCCTAGGAGCACCAGTTTAGTATTTGCCAATTCAGTGTTCTCACTGATTTCAGGAGAACTGACTGTATTTATTGAATAAGTGATGCCCAGTCATTTGATTCTAAACCCAAATCTTTTGTGAATGCACTATATGTTGGTAGGTAGAGCAGTGACTCTGGAACCAAACTGCCTAGGTTCCAATCTTGGTTTTCTGACTTACTAGCTTTGTATTCTGGGGCAAATTGTCTAACTTTTCTCCTTTTTCCGTAACTAAAAACGCAGGTTAAAACAGTACTGTAAATATTTGCCAGGGGCTGGGTGTAGAAGGAGGAAACTGATCACAAAAAGCCACTAGAAAACTTTTGGAATGCGGGAAATATTCCATATCTTGATCATAGCAGATGATCAAGATATCTTTTTCAAAACTCATAAAAAGGGACAAATTTTACTTTATGTGAATAACTTAAAAAGGTTAAAGAGAGCAGCAGTCACAATCAAAGGAATAATGCACATCAAAAATTTAGTACACTACCTGCCTATATAAATACTAAATACTATTAGTGATCATTCTAAAAACAATAGGGAAAATTAGGAGGTATAAGGAAAAGCAAAAACACCTAAAGAACCAAGATTCTAATCTGGCTCTTTCTTTTTGGGGGGTTGGGCGTGGGGAGGGGGTGGTCTCACTCTGTCACCCAGGTTGGAGTGCAGTGGCCTGATCTCGGCTTACTGCAATATCCACCTCCCAGGCTCAAGTGATCCTCCCACCTCAGCCTCCCGAGTAGCTGGGACCACAGGTGCATGGCACCACACCCACCTAATTTTTTGTATTTTTGGTAGAGACGGGGTTTCACCATGCTGCCCAGGCTGATCTCGAACTCCTGAGCTCAGGCAACCCACCTGCCTCAGCCTCCCAACGTGCTGGTATTACAGGCACGAGCCACTGCTGTAATGGCTCCTCCGTATATTAGCTAGAGGCTGAATTCAGTACATGAGAGGGCAGTAACTTATTGCAAAAGTTAAATTGGACATGTTTGAAAAATATGTGAAAACTGTAGAGGCATATAGGAATGTGAGGTATGGGATTATTCATGAGACAGCAATAGGAAATCAAAGTACCACATAAATGCGGGTGTGGAACGGGAAATAATTTCCTAGGTCACCTCCCCAAGAGGATACTGTGGTGAGTTGTGAAATGAAACTGTGAAGGGGGAGCACATCTCTTTTAAGAACCTTTCTATTGCAGTCTACAAGCTCTAGATCAATTTTGAAGACCATCTAAGCGTTCTAATGTGGCAGGGTTAAACCCCAAACTCTAAGGAATGCCAATGCCAGGAGGAAAGAAGGCATGAGGTGGCAGAACACCTCTCTGGACCCACAATGCCGTAGAAGTCAGACACCCTTCACCTCCACAACTTCACAACAGCCTTTGCTGTGAGAAGTGGGTTAATTCATTTCACTGCTGGCTTGTTAGCTGGCGGATGCTTCAGGAGTTCCTACCCGGGGAAGCAGCCTCTACAGGGGCACCCCGCACCAGTCGCTGCCAAAAATCTCACCAAGGGGTGAATGGGGTCCTCAGGACCCGCGGTGCCGAGCTAGGTATTAAAATAACGCACCTGAGTTCTTCTTCAAGGACCAGGAGGAGGTTCCAACTCCAAGAAAGGCTGCAAGCTGAACCAGAAACTCGAACCTAAAGTTCGCTTCACAGCCAGCCACACTGGCACTCGCTGAATCGGCGCGCCTCGCGAGTTCTGACAATTGTCATGTGATAACTGCCACGCACCTGATGGCAGAGGCCACTGGGTGCCTTGCTTGGTTCCCATTAAAGTCGACTGCGACCCCAACGCAACAAACCAAAGAGTTGGAAGGCCCAAGTTCCTCTGCCAGCGAGCTCACCCTCGGCAATCAGACTGCTGAAAGTGCGCTCCACGCCGGAAGTGCACTAATCCGCAGCACGTGGGGTTGCCAGGGCGCTCTTCACGTGACTGGGCGGAGCCTCAGGAATCTGGTAGCCAATGGTAGCCCGAGGGGGCGGTGCCTGTGACGCTCCGGGGCCTATCCCGGAAATGGGGCTGAGGTGGGGGCGGGTAAGGGCGGGGAGGCTGGGGTGTGGAAAGTGTGGCGGCCCCGCCCCGTCTCTTGGAACTGCCGCGGCCGCCACCGCCGCCGCCGGCGCCGCAGCTGTTGGGGACCAGCGCGGGTACGCAGACGAAAGGCACTCTTTACCAGCTGAAAGGTGAGGACCTGGGGAAAAGCTGGTGGGGATGGGGCCAGAGCGAGGCAGGGCCGGGGAAGGCGCCCAGAGCCAAGCGCTGACCGAGGGAAGGAAGGAGAATGGATGGGGGAACAGAGGCGAGCGCGGGACCGCCGGGGCTCAGGCCCTGGTGGGGCCGGGCCGAGCTGAGCCGAGGATGCCGGCAGAACAGGGGGCGCCTGTGCGGCCGCGGCGGCGGCGTTGAAGGGTGGAGGGCGGGTTGCGCGCCAGCTAGCAGAGGGCCGGGTGCCGCTGGCCAGGTTCTGTTACCCCGCATCCTTCGCGGGGACGTGCGGCCTGGGCTGGATACCCCGCAGTAGGGTTCGGGGCGGCGGCCGAGTGCTGGGCGGCGCGGGAAGGTCGCCGGCTTCTGCCGTGGGGCGATGGGGGCCGCAACCTGCTGTTTCCAGCGCGGAGGAGCGCCCAGGGCGGGTGTCCCTACCCTCAGCGAGCTCTTCTGCGACTTCTCATCCCACCTCCCCAAGCAATAGCTGGAAAAGTTTGTAGAGGCCAGAGTTAGAAAGTGTCCACTAGTCTAGGGTGGGTGTTCCTTACATGCAGAAATAACAGGCCCGTGATGCTTGGCACATAACTTGTCTGAAATGAGACGTTTCCGTGCCTACATACCCGTTGCTGAAAAGCAAACACAAACTTTTTTTGTGTAGTTCCCACGGCAAAACTACCATCTCCCCAGCCCACCATGGCGGACGAAATTGATTTCACTACTGGAGATGCCGGGGCTTCCAGCACTTACCCTATGCAGTGTTCGGCCTTGCGCAAAAACGGCTTCGTGGTGCTCAAAGGACGACCATGCAAAATAGTGGAAATGTCAACTTCCAAAACTGGAAAGCATGGTCATGCCAAGGTAAGTGCCCTTGCAGATCAGGCTTTGGCTTTGGCGTTGGGACTTTGATCATTTGTGTTCCGTTACAGATCATGAGATTTCTATACTTAAAATTTTGTAATAAGCACTGTTTTTTCCTTCCCACAATTACTGGGTGATCAGTTATTACGTTGAATACTGAAAGGTAGCAGTCCCTTCTTGGGCCCTTTACAATGTTCATTAACTGGGAACTGAAACTTTCCTGAATCCTAGTGACTTAGAAGATCTATTCAGTTTACAGATGAGAAAACCTGTTCCAGCAATTCTAAGAAACCTACACTTTATTTTTCTTCTGTAATCTCATAATTGAATCACTGGACTATGTTGGGTCTTGACATGTGATACTGTTTAGTTGTTTACTGCCTCCTAATTGTAAGACCACTACTTTTTTTTAAGTAAAATCAGATGACCTTGGAAGGCGGAGAAAAGGAATCTGTCGTAATCAGCGTTGGTATTGTGCTCTTGTGTGTGTAATGAGTGATATACTTGGCAGAGATTAAACAGGTTTCCTGTTCTCCTCTGTTAGGTTCACCTTGTTGGAATTGATATTTTCACGGGCAAAAAATATGAAGATATTTGTCCTTCTACTCACAACATGGATGTTCCAAATATTAAGAGAAATGATTATCAAGTAAGCACTGATTTTCTTTAGAATGTTGCTTGTTTCTTCAAGGTGCAAATACTTTGTACTATCAGTAATAATTTGACAAAACCCAAGAGCAGTTTCGTAGGTTTTTCTAACCAATTATTAGGCACCACCTATCTTAGAAACTGGAGAAATAGTGATGTTTAACACTTGTACCTTTTCTAGGATTATTGCTAGTTTGCTATTTTTTTTTTACATTCTTGCATTTTTTAAAAAGTCAAATACTTATTAGTGCTCCTCAGGCCAAGTGACTGCATATTGCAATTAAGTCCAATGTTTAGTAAAAGTACTATTCTCTCTGTTATATATTTCTTATTCTAATTTAAAACATCCCTCCTGGATGTTTTGTTTCTTTTCACTGATCAGACCTAAGACATTCAAGAAACTACTGAAATTCATGTTCCTACCAAGTTTTTGTATTAATGAATGTTAGTCAGAACCTGACATTCTTAAGTAGGGAAATAAGTTGAAAGCCATAAATATAAAGTACATGGTCACTGAGTATGGTGAAGAAAACACGAAAACTATGTAATTGGTGAAATTACGTTCAGTGACCATGCTGTGACCTTTTGCTAAATTATATATGTAAACTTCAAGTTTTAGTTCCAGCTATACATTTGGGTAGGTCATATTTAATGATAGCATTTTGTTGTTTGGAGTACTGATGATAACCAAATAATTGACCTTATAGGATGTGGAAGCTCAGATTACTCATAACTAAAGCTTTTCTTGAAAGTCTTCAGTTTCTACATCAAGCATATCATATATCAAACTCATTTCTGCTCATTTTACATAGTAAAAACTACATAGTTGACACTGGTATTTGTTTTATCCAACTTAAACTGATTTTTTTCTGTACCCTTTATTGTATAAATTTTTTTAATGTTGCTATCAACTGCACTTATGCAATGATTTCCTTTTGCTGTTTGTCCACATGCAAACATACTTTTTTGTAGTTTTAATCTAGTAAACACTTCTATGTTTTCATTTTCCGACTTGTCATAAATGTTTTCTAGGTTGCTTTGAAGTCTTTGTAGAAATTTGAATCGTCTTGCAAGTGGGTTTTTTTAACCAGGTAGATCTGGGTTTGGATCTAGTTCTGTCACTTTCTAGTTGGATGATTTTGGACCAGTAATATAACCTTTCTGAGCCTGTCTTCTCATCTACAAAATAGGGATAGTATGAGGATTAAATGAGAAAAGGTACCCCATAAGAACTCCATAAGTAGATATGTACCAAAAAGTACTGTTCTGTTTCACCCTTTTCCTATGTAAAAATTCTACTTAATCATTTCATTATTGTTGGAGCACCAAATTTGATGTGGTTCATAGTGGGTGCTCAAAAAACATTTGTTAAATATATATTCTACTTAATCATTTCATTATTGTTGGAGCACCGAATTTGATGTGGTACATAGTAGGGGCTCAAAAAATATTTGTTAAATGTGTGATTACTGAATATAGTAAGGATAGTACAGTAGGCTAAAGCTGAGCATAGAATTTTGTCAAAATTGGGTTTCTCTTCATCTTAAAATGTGAATGCTTCAAATATTCTGTATTAATTATATTCAGTAATATTCATTCAATATAGAATGCTTTTGCCTGTTGCATGTTTCAGAAAGATGGTATCAGCAGTTCAGATAATTACTATTATACTATGTTAAGGTTAGCCAGTCATTTATCGGAGCTCAAGACTTAAAGGAAAAATTTGATTTGGGTCCTAGACTAGGATGAGGCAAATGAAGTGAGGGAGGCTCTTGCCTCAGGCACAAAATTTTAAATAGAGACAGAACTAGTAACAATGACAAGCCATATAGGAGCTAAAGGCACAAAGAAAATTCTGATCCCATCTTTATTTAAAATGTTGGTATTTTATCATAGGATTTTTTCATTAATTCTAATTTTTTAAAATATTGCATTAAAGTGCTTATCTGGTCACTGAGGTTTTTTTGGTGCCTTCTTTAATTTTGCACCCAAGACAAGTGTCTTACTTCACCCTTGTCCCAGCCCTTGGTATGTACACCTCACTGCAAAGTGGGTAAGAGGATGATTTAAGCCAGTCAGGCTTGGTCCTAGTCTCTACTTTGGCACTTAATAGCTGTGTGACCTTGGTTGACAGTTACTTAACCTGTTTTGCTTTAATTTCTTTCTTTGTAAAGCAAAGGCATAAATAATAATGTCTTATGGGATCATTTTGAGGTTTTATTAGTTAATACAACAATGCCTGGCATAGAAATTACTCATTATTTCTCAGCTCTTCATTTTCAAGTCAGCATAGAAAACTTATTTCTGTTAATTTTTTTAAAAAAACTAGTTCTCCAGCCTGGGCAATGCGGTGAAACCCTGTCTTTACAAAATACGGAAAAAAAAAAAAAAAATAGCCAGGCATGGTGGTGTACGCAGCTGTAGTCCCAGCAGACCCAGAGGCTGAGGTGGGAGGGTCACTTGAGCCCCCGGAGGTCAAGGCTGCACTGAGCCATGATCACTCCACTGCGCTCCAGCCTGGGTGACAGAATGGGACGCTGTATCAAAAAAAAAAAAAAAAAAAAAAAAAAAAAAGTTCTGTGAGCCTTTCTATTTATATTTATTGTGCTTTGGTGGTCTTCACTTACCTAACCAAGTGCCTTGATTAAATACCTACTCATTATTTGGCTGTGTGTAATCCTTTATATTTGCTGAATTCAATATTTTGAGTGCCAGTTTGGCAGTTGGCTAAAGAGAAATATGTATTCTGTTCATTATAGTAATTAAAAAGTAAACAGGAAACAAAACATATTAATATTTATAGTTTTAATTTTATGTGTTTTAAAATAAGTTCAGAATGAAAGAAAAATTGTCTCCTGACTTCTTTTTCAAGATTAGCTTGGATTAGAATTGCTTATTTACATTACTTCTCCCAAAAGTAGTTATAGATGTCTGGGACTCAGTGATGGTGTAAATTATAAATCCAGATATAACTTTGGGAATCCCCAAATTCATAGAGAAATGCTTATTCAGACATTAGTACTCTGGAATCATATTTCTTTGGAAAGTTCTGTGTTGATATAAACCTCACCACAAGTTAAATGCCGTTTCTGCATTTACTAAAGTTTTACCTGCCATTTGAAGAACATTTTCCAGAAGGAAAACTAATTACTACAGACACATAAAGTA